CACTAGTCGAGCTGCCAACCAGAAACTCGTCCTCCCTCGCTCTAACTCCAATCTTCACATCGCGGAAGTCCGCGGCGAAGTCCTTGTCCCCAAGATTCTGAACATCGTAAGTCCCGCGCTTGAAGAACGCAGCTAGAGGGCCGATGGACGAGACACCGCATGTCGCTCCGAAGCCTGCTGTGCTAGGTGCTAGAGAGCCTTGTGGATTTTGGAAAGAAGGTGAGCGACGCGACGGTGGGAGTTTCGCTTCGACGCGTTCGATCTGAGCGACGTATCCTGTTGCGAGGAGGCGGCCTGGTGAGCCTTTATCTAGTATACCTGCTGTACCTGTCTTTCCCTTTCCTTTTAGACGTTTCTGGTAGACACGCAACTCGCGGTTCGCGTGCTTCGCTACGAGCTTGAAGCGTCCTTCTACAGGTAGGTCGGATGATAAGAAGGGCATTACTATGCCCTCGCTAAAGGCGAGCATGCATGAGTCGGGCGGTGGCGGGTTTACGAAGAAGGCTCGGGGGTTTAACGGGAATGATGCTGTGAATGGGGGGTGGTTGGTTGATGGAGAACGCTTTTCGTGGATGGCCATCATTGCTAGGCCGGCGAGGGCGAAACATCCGGCTCCTATACTGACGTTTGCGGAGCGGCATAGTGATATCAGACGTGCTGAGGCGGCGGGCGAAAGGGATGCGGATACATGACCACATGACATTGGAGGGCGGGTCGAAGGGCTGTAGTCGAAGATCTTGTTGAACTTGGGTTCGAGCGGTACTGGCTCCTCTAACCTCTTCTCCCTTCGCAGCGGGTTCGTAAAAGTGGGTGGTAGTCCTCCTTTCTTCACGTGCCGCAACACTCTGATGAGCGCCCAGAACCAGCGCTGTCTCGCTTTGTTGCCTGCGATCGGGGGGTACAGATCTTCTTGGGCGGCTGGCAAGACTGTTTTGATCTTTTCTGATATACGGAGGGACTCGATGTCTGCTAGGATATCCTGGGATGGTTGGTTGAAGATGCGAGTGAAATGACTGAACCAGCTGTACGCCGAGAGACCATCGGATATTTGATGCGCGATTACGATGAGGAAGCGCAGCTCATATGTTCCGTCTGGAAGTTGTCGCAAAGGTAAGACATGGAACTTTGACAGGCACTTCGTGGGTTCAATGATGCGAGTTACGTTGTAGGCGTGGTGGTACAGGTCTTTCTCATTGACTTCCTCGTACGCTTCTTCGATCCAAACAATGCTCTTCTCGACATCTTGAATGGCAGAATCTTGAGAACTGGGTACATCGACGGCAAAGGCTCTTCTTCCTGTTTCTTGATCATCGATCACTCGAGACAGGAGTAAAGGGTGCTGAAGGCGAAGAGAAGTCCAGGCAAGCGCTATCTTGCGCCTCAGCTCTGATTTCGAGAGCTTGTGTTGGACTGCTAATGTGAAGAGGGCCGTCATATCTGTCATACGGTCAGTCGCGTTTCAACCATGCTCGATATGACAAGGGTACCTCTCTTTAGGCAATTGAGAAATGAGTATAACATATTCTAAACATCCTACATACCTGCCCGGCCACCGTAATACGCGCCATCAGAGTCAAAAGAAGTCTCCACTAGCCCGAGAGGACGCTTGAACAGCTGGGTGCCATCTGCATCTTCTGACAGCTTCCACTCGGCATAGTTTGATGCGTATTTGTCCAACCAGTGGCTCTGCTCTTGCTTTCGTGGTGTCATGACACCTTTTTGGCGTGCAATTCCAGGAGGATGGAGGTCATGCAAAGTTTTTCGCCACTTCTTTGTGCGAGCAATTGGAAGCTCGAGCGTATGTCAACAATGAAGAAAGTGTATCAAAAGGATAACATATGTACAGATTGAAAAGCGACAGAGTTAGAAGGCGGAGTCGGAATGACTGTTAGATTGTGAGATGAGCGGGTCGGCCAGGTCCGCTCGAGTCATGGACGTTAGTCGCTAAGATGCCGTCATTGCCACGACGATCAGTTGATAGGACCTCACACTCTGATCACATACGCTGTTGTACGTTGACATGCTGCAACACATTAATACTGTTCATTCTCGAGGGAGCATGCAGTATAATAAACCTGGAAATGATGAAGCTCCTTTCTATGGCGCCGTGCATGTTCCTTCACGGACTGGGTATCGCCAACGCAACAATTTGATCAACCACCCCTTCCCACCACAGTCTTCTAAACTACATCCTCCATCTCGTCCTCGCCCTCTGAGTCGCCATCACCGGGACCCTCTGGCGCAGCTGCCTCTGCCTGCTTACTGGTATCGCGCTGGTTGTCAAAGACAGCCTGCCGCTTCCAGTTGCTCGCAAAGGGCCCAGACTTGACAAGCAGCGCAATGTCGCCAAGCACCTCCTTGAGATACTGCTCTGGTTGTTTTGTGCGCTGCTTGATAGCCTTCATCGGCCAGTACTGGTATTCGTCGAACAGCTGGTGCAGTACGTCGATGAGGTCGGAACGAGCCATACGAGCCGCCTTGTTCTGCTGTGACTTGGCTTTGGTCGTGGGCTTGATGAAGTTCTTGAAGCGGTTGTTGAGGGTGATGGAGTTGTTGACGTCAGAGACTTCGGTGTCTTTCGTGATGATGGTGGTGGTGTAGGAGCCTTGAATGGCTTGCTTGATGCGCGCGGCGCTGAAGTCCTTGAACTCTTTGGTTTCGAGAGGATTCGCGTTATACTGCCGTGTCGCGTGGCCGACGAGGGCAGTCTGTTTGGGGATCGCCTTCTTGTACTTGCTCCGTTTTTGGACGCGCGCATTCGGATCTTGTACACCACCACCATAGCCTCCGTGGCCTCTCCCATAGCCGAAGCCTTGTCCCTTGAACCCTGGCAGATCCTTCTCTGTAAAGATGTATGTGTTACCCAGTTGCGCTTCGGAAGCGGTTGCAGGATCGAGCTGGAAGGCGGAGGGTAAGTTGGACTTTGCGCGCCAACGATCGTCGAGGAAGACGCGCATAGGCTTGTCCTTGTCGATGCCGCTCGTCGTAGCGAATGCGAGGACTTCGCCGATCTGTATCTGATCGTTGTCGTTGCCGTCGGCGACGTTTTCCCACTTAGACACTGCCTCGTAGAGCCAGTCTGGAATACGCGTGAGCCAGACATCCTGTTGAGGATTGTCCTTATTGATGCTCATCTCGCCGGTGTCCTCGTAGAAGTCATCGTCCATGAAACCTATGTCGCCTTCCGCCTTGATTCCAGCTTCTGTCTTGATGCCGTTCATGGTAGCGAGTGTGTGTGTGTTGTTGCCTGGGGTGAGTTGGTAGTGATGATGAAAGATCGACTGACTGGGGCGCGCTCTTCCCCGACGCGCTTCCGCACTAGCGTGCCAAGCGCTTATCGATAATGCAGCTCTGGAGAGGTCGCGCTTGCCCCACGTCTGCTGCCTATCAACAACCAACAGGTACGACCGAATCTCGTTTGCAGCTACAGAGTGATCCCTTTGTCCTCGCCATTCATTCTCGTATATCCACTCGGGTCGAGCCCTAAACGTCTTCTCAACCAACCCAGCTCATCCAAACCCCTCGCAATGGCTTCACAAGCTGTCACCTCGGCTTTACAGCAGATTGAGGCGGCACCGGCCAGCGAAAAGCCCTCTCAGTACACTGCTCTCCTCCAGCAAATCATAGAATCATCCACCAATGTCGCCGCCGATCTGAACGCATACGCACAAACTCTCCTCGATGACTCGCTCGGCATAGTCGTTCTGCGGCCACTCCTCGCTGCTTTCGTAGATGCGTTCCGCACGGTCAAGGAACCCGACGCCAGGATTGAAGTTGGAGAGAAGGTCATCACACTATTACAGTCCAAGGGCGCGGGCCAGTATGAGGAGCAGGACACTCAGATCAAGCATGCTCTGGCGGATGCGTTCGAACAGAACGATGACTTCAGACGGTCAGCGCAGACGCTCGCGACCATAAACCTTGAGTCGACACAAAAGTCTGTCTCCGCGGATGACAAGGCGCAGGTCTGGATCCGGATAGTGCGGTGTTATCTGGAGGAAGACGATCCGACGAGCGCCTTCACACATCTGAACAAGATCAAGAACATCATCTTCAACGTACAAGACAAGGCCACCAAGGTCATGTTCCAGTTGAGTCAAGCCCGCATTCTCGACTCGCAACGGTCCTTCCTTGATGCTGCGCAGGGATACTACACCTTGAGTAACGAGCCAGTTGTGGACGCTGAAGAGCGCGACAACTTTCTTGGGAAAGCAATCATATGTGCAGTCCTCGCTCCTGCTGGTCCGCAACGAGGTAAGATGTTGGCCAAGCTGTACAAGGACGACCGAGCCAGTTCCGCCGACGACTACGCCATCCTCGAGAAGATCTTCCTGAACCGTCTTCTCACACCTGCCGAGATCAAAGCCTTCTCCGCCAAGCTCGAACCTCACCATCTCGCCCGGGCCGCTGATGGCTTGACTGTGCTCGACAAGGCTATCCTGGAACACAACTTGCTCGGCGCCTCGAAGCTCTACAACAACATTGGATTTGATCAGCTGGGTGAACTACTGGGCATCGACGCTGAGAAGGCCGAGGACTACGCGGCAAAGATGTTAGAGCAAGGCCGACTTGCCGGTTACATCGACCAGATCGACCGATACGTTTTCTTCGAGGGCGAGGCCAGTGGTGAGCGTAAAACAGGGCACGCAGAGCGCGTTGTCGGCAAAGAGCTACGGAAGTGGGATGCCAACGTCACAGGCCTGGCAGAGGAGGTGGAGAAGGTCACGTCGATGATCCAGAACCAATATCCCGACTTCTATGCAGCGCAGGTGGTGCACTAGTGTCGAATCGATATTACCAGCAGCGATGATGAGTAGGCGAAGCATAAACGGCGTCCGGGATCGTATATACCCAATGTACACTTAGACATGAATACGAGCATGATATCGTACTCCCATTGCTGAGATATTGCATTCACGTAACAGCCCCGAGGCTGACATGCTCGTGTTATCTGTACATATGATACATTCAAAGACGCATCCCGCCTCTCGACGCCACCACTATTGTACACTCTCCTTACCCTCTTGGCCCAACACAGCCTCATACTCCTCCAGACTCTTAACTTCCAAATCACTTATCTTCAAGACTGTGAAGTACTGTTTGCTCATAACATGCTTGACATGTCTCCGTCTCCTTTTAGTCTTCTCTTCCACCCTCAACGGCTCAGTCTCCACACCCACAACCCGCGCTCTGCATGTGAATAACCGCTCGTCCAGATAAAACACCTTCTTCCCACGATCCGCATTTCCCTTAACGGGCTCTGGGGCTTTTAACGTGTAGTCGCGCGATCCAATGTGTGTAGCGCGGTTCAGACGCAGAACATCGCCTGGTCGTACATGTGGCATTTGGAAGGGGAGGCGAAGCGTGTCTCCGCGAGTGAGGAGGTATGGGCGGCCATGTAGATGTGCGGTTATGTAGTGTGCTGGCTGCGATTGTAGGAGGGGAAGGAGCTTGCGGATGGAGGGTGTGAGGGTTTGCGAGAGGATGTCTGAGCGAGCGTTTGGTGAGGCTTTGATGTCGTTTGTGGAAGCGGGCGCTGGGGCGTCTTTGGGGAGAGGCTGTGGTGTTTGAGCGCGCTCTTTGGCTTCGTCTGATATGCGGTGGCCGGATTGGATGAGCGGCTCGGGCGTATTCGATGTGTCGAGGTTGTGCGATACGGTTGTTATGCCTGCGCGGCGGATCGTCGGTTGGATTAGCGTTCTCGATTCGAAGAGCGCATGGCGTGCGGAGCGAGCGAATAGAGCCATTACTGGGGTTTGTGGGATGCAATGGCTGGGGTGGCTGCTGAAGAACGCATCTTTGGTGTTGCGGGAGTCCGATGTTGAAGAATCCCGCATCGCGCTAGTGGGGGCTAGTGCCGAACTTTTTGGAGGCAAGGCGGCTGGTGGAAGAGACTCCACTCCACTACACCACCCTTACAGCATACACAGAGGTACTCGCCGCTATGCCTCAGAACGAGTATATCGAGCGCTTTACGAAGCAGTACGTCTACACCGATCCTGCATCTCTCATTCTACAACGCCTACCTCGGCACCAATCCTGCGGTCTCGCGATTTGCGCTTTGCGCCTCAACACCAGAACACATGACTAACCGTATGCTATAGGCACGGAAAGCGCTTCGATCATGACGAGCGCCAACGGAAGAAGATTGCCCGTGAAGGGCACAATGCCTCGAAGAAGGCGCAAAACTTCCGTGGTCTGAGGGCCAAGTTGTACGCCGAGAAGCGTCGCAAGGAGAAGATCCAGATGAAGCAGAAGATCCGCGCACACGAGGAGAGGAGTGAGTGTTTCTGTACACACTGGCATGAACTATACGCTAACCCGATCTCTCAGACGTCAAATCCAACGAGGCCCCCGAGCCAGCCACCGACGCCCTCCCTGCCTACCTCCTTGACCGTAGCAACGAGAAGAACGCAAAGGCCCTATCATCAGCCATCAAGCAGAAGCGTAACGAGAAGGCCGCACGCTTCTCTGTCCCCCTACCAAAGGTCAAGGGTATTTCCGAGGAAGAAATGTTCTCAGTCGTCAAGACAGGAAAGAAGACCAAGAAGAAGAGCTGGAAACGCATGATAACTAAGCCTACGTTCGTTGGACCAGGGTTTACGCGTCGTCCCGTGAAGTACGAGCGCTTCATCCGACCTATGGGTCTCCGTTACAAGAAGGCCAACGTGACGCATCCTGAGCTGAACGTCACGGTCCAACTGCCCATCATCTCCGTAAAGAAGAATCCCCAGCAGCCTATGTACACCCAACTCGGCGTTCTAACCAAGGGAACTATCATTGAGGTGAACGTCTCAGAACTCGGTTTAGTGACTGCTGGAGGAAAGGTCGTTTGGGGTCGGTATGCACAAATCACCAACAATCCCGAAAACGACGGGTGCTTGAACGCCGTTCTTCTCGTCTAAGCTTCCTACTAAGAAGGACGAAACGCAAACAATGCATTTGATGGCGTTATGTGGGTCAGCAGTCGAATTCCAAGGCGTTGCGGCGATTACGAGACAACGGGATTTGCTAGGCAGGGAAAGAGGATTATCGGCCGATGATGCAACTGAGCATGTATATCTTGGAGGACTTTTAGCTAGCAAAAAAAGAATAATGATACTACATTGATCAAGCAAGCAGTCGTGTAATTCATGCTGGTGATAATTACGATGCTGGATTAAATACCCAACCATGACCGCCCAATGACCGCCCAAACCGTGGTATCTTCCCAGTCCATCCATCCATCTCTGCATAAAGAAAAACGCCAAAAGATTCTTCCCACCCAAGGTACCAAATAGCTGGTTCACATCTACAAAGCGACGTTATACGATAACGTCGCTCAAATCCACATGCCTTCTCCTTCTAGCCACATCCCCTGCTAGAGCCCTTCCATCGCTGTCCAGCGCCTCATCACCCGCCCAATCCACAACAATCTCATCGCGGACCTCATCATCGAAACTACCCCTCCGCCCCGTCTTATCCGCCCAGCCCGTGCGTTCAAGCTCGATGATACCGCCGAACCTTCTCTCGCCATTCGCAACGAAAAGAGACTGGCCATCAGGCGTAAACGACACACCACCCGCGGGGCCGAAGAAATCGAAAGTCTGCTTTGACTCCCACGTCTGCGCGTTGATGATGTTGAGGAAGTCATCTGCTTCGGCGGCAACGAGAACACGCGGGCCGGAGCCGATGGGCGAGAAGTGGAGGGAACGCGGGACACTGAGTTCGCTCTTCATGACGGCGAGGGGCTTCTCCCAGTAGCGCGCGTCCCAGACGACGATGGTGGAATCCTGCGCGGCGGTCGCGACGTGAATGCCGTCGTCGGCCCAGGCACAGGCGAAGGCGTCGTCGGTGTGCGAGTTTAGCGTTTCGAAGGGCTGGCCGGTTTCGGCGTTTGTGATGAGCGTTTCTTGGAAATCGCCGACGACGACGCGCATCCGTCCATTTGGACTGGTAGCCGAGCAGTTGACAGCTGCGGGGTAGAGGAACGAGTGGATGAAGGTGTTGGTGCCGCAGTCGAGCACGCGGAGGCGGTGGTCGTTGGAACAGAGGACGGCTTGTGGGGTGTAGGTTCGCCGTGAGGGGAAGAGGTGCATGTGATTAACTATGCGTGACTTGGTGTCTGTTGCAAAGTCGGTGGTGCGGCCGAATGTGCAGGGCGAGCCGTGGGTTGAGGAGAGGTTGGTGATGGCGTACTCGCCTTCGAAAGCACCGGCGATGAGTACGTCGCCGTGGGAAGCGATAGTGGTAATCGATGCATCGGGAGCCAGGTGTTTGCTGAGGTCAACGACGGCGTCTTCGGATGTACCTTCTGCGTCTGTGTGGAGTACTTGGTGACCTTTTGCATAGTAGATATCATTGCGAGATGTGGCCGTCAGAACATTCCGCAGCTGGAAGTGAGGAACAAAGGCACGGGGGCTGGTGTTGATCCTTCGGAACTGGAAGAAGCTGTCTGTGTTGGGTGTTGAATGGACGTGCTGTGATAAGTTAGCCAGTGAACCTCATAAGACATAAAGAAGCTCGTTTGTCCCCCAACAATACCACACCCTGGAGGGATGTACGTGTTCTCCATCATTCGGTCCTGCAGAACACAGTAATGTCTTCAGGGTGTGTAATAGCTGGAGCAAGAAAACACTTCTTCGTACTATGCATACCTTGCGAACCTGCTTCACACTGTGAGGCACCCGCTGACGCTCATGTTGCGACCTTGCTCTCCGTACCGAAGCCCTAGTAGTCTTCCGGGCGGTCCAATCAATTCCCTGGTAATCATACTCATCACCCTTGAGATCTTCTCGGGTAATGAAATCCGGCAGCTGGATGAGATCCAGACCAGGCACAACACCGGGCTTCCACTGCCCGTAGAAGCGGTGGAAGTAGGACGTAATGGGACAAAAGGCCGCCCGGTCCTGTATACTCAGGTGCGGTTCGTTGAGTGTTGGCGGTGGCTCAAGTAATAGGTCAGTACCGTATGGCAGGTTGCCTGCTATGGTGACCGGCGCAATGAAGTGTGTAGTGGATGTGTGGTGCTGAGGTATGCTGGAGCCTGCAAACATGTCGAAAGCGTTGTATGTGACATAGGATGGATGGACTGGCCCGAAGCCAAACATGTCTTCTATCGTGCCTCCCTCATCCAGCGAGGGGTCCCCATCGTCGCTGTTTGCTCCTGCCTGATGCGACTCGGGCATGGCTTCCATGAAATGCTGGTAGTCCTCTAGCGATATCCCCCCACCATCGTCATCGTCGTCGCCGTCGTCCCCCTCGTCATCGGGCGGTCTGTTGTCGGAGAGGGTCGCTAGCGTCACAGCAGCAGCCAGTGCGCTGGGTGAGTGCGGCCAGTCTCCAGCGGGCGGGTGGGCGTGCGGCGGCGTTGTGGGATGTGTGGTGGAGTGTGGCGCGGGCCAGTTGTGCATGCTGGCCATCGACGCCCGCTATCCGCCTGATAGCCAGTGCAGCGGGGCCGCCGAGGCAGGTTCTTGGGGCAGTTGCGTCTGCGACGAAATGGTCGGCTGGTGTAGTTGTAGAGAGGCGTTGGGGCGCAAGGTATAGGCTTGTCTGGCGTGGGGGAGGCGACTAGGCCGAAGCATAGGCTCAGGCAGAATGCAGCAGTCAAGTCCAGGGCCCAGGGGCTGACTGGCTAGGCTCTTCGCTTCGCAGGCTGACTGGGTCGCGTTCGGCGCTCGACCTGGCTCTCCAGGCGCTGCATGCGACAGAGGTACGTCCAGGCTAATTGTGGGGTTGCTTCTGGCAAGTCACAGTCGGGTATTGGCTGCGGGAGAGTTGGGCTGGGCTGCAGGGCAGGGCAGGGTGACGGTCATGAATATGGCTATGCGCGTCGGGACGGCTTCTGAAGCTCCAATGCCGTCAGATATATATGCCACGCTCCACGTCGTCGAATATTCCCATCGAGCCCTCCTCCGCGGGCCTCTAGTCTGAACACGGGGGGATCGGACAGCCCACCCCCAAGCCTGACTAGCGACTCCACCATCTCTCAGATCTCCAGACGTTAGATCTGTGTATTCACGCTGCTCGACTCCACGCTGTCACCAGGCGCTCAGGGTTAAGCGGCTGCGGCGTGTCGACGGACCGTGATACAACTCACATGGCACTGCCAACACGACAACCTTCTGGAGCCAAGGCCCGGCGACGAGAATGCAGTGGCCACCCACCATTACACACCCACGTCCACATCTGCTCTTGTCAGGCCTCTTTTGGGACACAGACAGCACACCAGCTTCGCTAAGCGCATCTTCTGGGTGATGTGCTGAGCGCCGGCCCACGGTTGCACGGCTATTTCGTGGAGCAAATCAGACGTCGGTTCCCACCGCGCCTCCCCAGACTGTGGCTCGAACGCCGTTTTTGTCTCCCCTTGCCGTTCTGCCTGTGGACAACGGTGCTGGCACTCCACGACAGCACGCCACAGATCGCTCCAGCGAAACTCGAACCACCCTGCGGGCGCGCTGGGCGCACAGGGCGGATCTTGAGACTGCAAAACAGCACAGGAACACTGATGCGAGGTCATTCATCAAAGTGGTATTTCAGCATCGGTATGCCGTGTCTCGCGAGAGCTGACGACATGCCGTAAGAATGTATTACTAGTGCGAGGTGCCTACGTGACCCCGACGGCGAAGTGGAAATGCCACCATCTCATAAACGATGACAGAAATGGCCTGCTAAAACGAACACCCCAGGAATGCAGCAAATCATGTAGTACATATGCAGTCCGCTCCTACGCGACGCCTCATTGCGAAATCAATTATCATAGTAC